GTTGCAGTGTTGTGTGCGGTTCGCTGGGTTTCAGTGGCTCTTTTCTAGTAGCACCGGTGCGGATCTATGCTTTGATGTTTGATTTTTGCGACAATTAACTTTTTATCTCGCTTGAAAGGCCCGTGTAACGAATGTATTTATCCAGCCTGATCAATCCTAAGCGTCAGGTCATTGTTTAATGGGTTGTTTTTCCTTCAGTGCCCCTGGTAGACTCGCCTCTCTTTTGAGAGGTGTTGTCTACCGGCGTCTTCTTTTGTGCTGTGTCTGAAGTTCCTCATAGCTAGCGTTCCTTTTTTGCTTAAATGTTCATTTTTGTCAGGGTAGAAGTTTTAAAAGGCCTCACTGAAAGCTTTCCTTCGTGTGTGTTGTGACCATGTCTCTGTTTTAGGGGCAGCTGAGGGAGCTGGGACTGTTTAGTCTGGAGAAGAGGAGGCTCAGGGGGGATCTCATCACTCTCTACAATTACCTGAAAGGGAGTTGTAGGGAGATGGGGGTCGGTCTCTTCTCCCACGTTATGAATGACAGGACGAGAGGGAATGGCCTCAAGTTACCCCAGGGGAAACTTAGGTTGGATATCAGGAAGAATTTCTTTACAGAGAGGGTTGTGAAGTATTGGAACAGGCTGCCCAGGGGGGGGAGTGGAATCCCCATCCCTGGAGGTGTTTAAAAACCGTGTGGATTTGGTGTTGAGGAACATGGTTTAGGGACCCTGACAGTGCAGGGTGAATGGTTGGACTCGATGATCTTGAGGGTCTCTTCCAACCAGATGATTCTATGATTCTACGTTCAATAAAAGTAGGGCACTAGAAGATACTTCCAAGAAACGGGCATATTGTTCTTATTTCTGATGGGTAAAAACGGTGTGCTTACTACATTCCGAGATGCAGGAGGGTATTAAACTTGTTAACTCAGCATATTAAAACTCACCTGCTGCCCAAATATCACAGCTGGATTTTGAGGGGCTGGCGATACCCTAGAGCTGTGATCTGCTGTGTCCAAAAGTGAATTCTGTCACTGAAGCGCAGGTGCAGGCTAACTGCTTCCTCCGGTACAAATAGCTGTGTTTGGACCACAGGTTTTGTATTGTGGAATTCCAGCTCCCAAATAATGAGATGTTGGGTCAACAACCAGGAAAAGTTGAGTCAACAGTAAAGGAAAAAAGCATCTTTGTGCAGTCACGAGTTGCGTATGTTGCTCTTTGGAAGAGACAGGGGTTACTGCTACGTGTAACATGTTTGTCCAGATAACAGGGTTAGGAACTGAATTTCTCTATCATTGTTTCACCTTTTCTTTTTCACTGAAGTTTTAGCTATATTCCCAATAAAAACAGTCTGTTGGCTGATGCCTTTTAGTGTAGTCAGTCAGCCATGGCCAGTTTGAAGTAACTTGGAAAACAGAAGACACTCGATGTTGAGTTTTGGTCAGAGGTTGTCCTGGAATATATGATTTTAGTATTAGATACATCTTTCTTTATGGTAAAATATGGAAACACTCGGGGGCACCAGTATTTGTATGGATTGGAATTTTGCCCTTAAGGTATTGGTTAATTCTTGCTTTGTTTACTTCTCCTGACAGATGAAACAGAATTCAGAAATTTTATTGTTTGGCTCGAAGACCAGAAAATCAGACATTACAAGATTGAAGACCGAGGGAATTTAAGAAACATACACAGTGATGACTGGCCCAAATCATTTGAAAAGGTATTTTGTTGTTTGAAACACAATTTTAAATTATGAATATGTCTTGTGTCAAGGACGATTAATAGCTGCTGTAGTTCTTGAATGTAAATGGCTTCAAATGTTTGTCCTGTCTCTGAACTTTTACGTTTCTAGGAATTTAAATGTATCATTGAGGCCAAACTGTAGGAGTTATTAAGATGGTAGAACTTTTTGTACATAATTTTCACTCAGCTGTGTTTTTGTGATAGGTGGTATCTGTCCTAATCTGGTTTTGCCTGATTTGATTCAGCTCTTGATGCAGAAAGAAAATTAACTACAAATAAGCAGTTTTTTTCTACCTTAGTGGTTCTTACTTACAAAAGGCAAACGGATTAGGCCAACGCGCTCACAGGCTTTGCAGGAGTGTGGAATGGAGCTGCTGCAGCTCGTCTGCACACCTCTTGTTGTTTCAGATGGATGGTTTTCCACTGCTGGCACGCAGTGTGGCAAGCAGCCATTGCTCTGTGAGTGATCTCATGTGTGTGCTTGAGCGTTTAGAGTCACCACGGGGCTGTTGAGCTTTCCCTCTTGATTCCCGTTTCCTTTCTCTCCAGACAGCCCTGTGCAGAGCTGAAAATGCTGCTCCATAGTGCTCAATGCTCATTTGTCTCCCTTCCCTTGCACCCCCTGGAACCACTTGCCTTGCTCACTGCCCTGGAGGGCTGGAGTTGCAGTGCTCATGCTTTGCAGCTGGGAGCCTAAAGCGTTCTAATACCACGTACACAAATGTACGTGATGTTAGGATTACTGGCTGCTGGTACTGTTGTGGTATCAGTGGTGTCTTTCTTGGCTTGGCCAGGCTGTCCTTCTCTGTGTGCCTGCCAGGGGAGCCCTGCCTGCTCATGCTCTCCAGTCCCTGGTGGCCTTTCCCTCTTGTGCTGGTGCTGCAGGTGTAGAGGCCGTGTGGCACGTCTCCTCTCTCTCTCTCCAGCCAAGGGGCACAGCAGAATGTCACTGTGTCCTGGGCTTTGGCAGCAGGTTGGGCTGGGTCCTGTGTTCTGGCTTCAGAAGATCATATCTGATATCTTAGCTATGTTTTGTCCTCTCCTGTTGTACACAATCCTTAAGAAAGGGAAAATTACTTCTGCTGTTCCTCAGAGTCCTCTGATTTTAGCCCAGGTGGTTTAAAGGCGGTGTTGTGAAAGCCTTAATTGGCATCATTCCTCCTTCCTGCTTTAGATTGGAAGTTTAGGCTGCAATTTGTTCTCTGTCCTTCCCATTTCTGTTGCTTCCACTTATTGTGTTAAGTGAACAGAGGGCAAAGAAAGGGGTATCTGGCAAAGAAAGGGGTATCCGTGGTTTCTCTGGTTGCAGTCTGGCGATTAATAACACAAATTGTGGCTGCCCCATCCCTGGAAGTGTTCAAGGCCAGGTTGGATGAGGCTTTGAGCAACCTGGTCTAGTGGAAGGTGTCCCTGCCCATGGCAGGGGGGTTGGAACTAGATGATCTTTGAAGGTCCCTTCCACCCCAAACCATTCCGGGATTCTATGAAAAGCATTCATTAAAAAGCAGGTGCCCTTACAAAACAGCAGCCTCAAGGTAGCTGTGGATTGGAGCGTCCTAAAATGCCTCGGATGGATCAGATGCCACAGCAGAACATACCACTGTGATGCTTCTTGTTAATAACTATCTTCCACCAGCTGAGGTCTGTGGGAAAGTGACTGTTTACAAAACAGTTCTGTGCTCCTACCTGATTCATGCAGGTCAATAACACCTATTTGTTTTCTCCTCTTTCTGTTCCTCAGTACATGAAAGACGTAAACTGTCCTTTCAAAATACAAGAACGACAAGAAACAGTGGATTGGCTCCTCGGCTTAGCAGTGAGGCTCGAGTATGGAGACAATGGTATGAGTGAATTTAGTTAATATTTCAAAATGGCAGGGAAGTGTGCTTTTCTGTTTAATTTATGAAGTATTCTTCAATTTAAGACCATGTCAAAAGTACATATTGTTTTCTTAAAAAATATAAATACCATTTCATCTGCTTGGTTTTGCACCATATTCAGATGTGAACTGCTTCTTTTCAGCTCCTGTGGGACAGTGCAGTACCATACTGGCATTTATTACTTTATTTCTGGTTACAGCAAACCCTGTTGTATATATTTATATCCTTCTCCCTGTGGGATTGCCTGTGTGAGAACTTACTCTAAAGTGTATTAAATGCATTTTCTTTAGTGCTACATTTATTCCAGTAAGTTATTCTTAGACCCTTGTTTTACGGGGCGTAGATCCTCAACCCTTGGGAACTAGGGCAAGGTTATGAAAAAGTTGAGTTAAATCTCACCAGTCAGCAGCAGTTTCATTTCTTTACAGCAAGAGTGCAGATGCAAATGTAATTACTGGTGGCAAACATAGTCATAGCCAAAGTACTGGTTTCCATTACCTTTAATTCCTTCAGGGCTGAGCTCTGCCCAAGACAAAGATGGGATATAAATACTTGGAATCTGTAGAGATGGTTCTCAGTCCCTCTTGATGGTGAAAGTGAGCTGCCTGTGACTCAGGGGTACGTGAAAATGGAGGAGCCAGAAGGTTCCATCCTCAAAAGGCTTGAGAAACCCCTGGTTGTAGACGAATGCTGCAGCAAAGCCTTCACTGGAAATGTTTTCCTCGCTGATCAGAACCAACTTTGATCTGTAGTTCTTGAGCCCTACATGTGCTGCTGATGGAGGCAAAGGGCCAATGAACTGGTGGATTTTTAAAGTAGTAGAACGGTAAGGTGCAGCTCTTTCAGCCGTCTGGGATGAAGACTGGAGGAAGAGCCTGAATCAAGAGCATAATGCCCTACATAAGTGTGGAGCATGCTCTGGTGCTGCCCCGGAATAGCACATAAGCTCTCTGCAGATGGGAGCTGCTAGGGTTGCTCACTAGAAGGGCAGACTTTGGGGACCTTAGTAGGGAGCTCCAAAACATCAGCATATAAGCCCAGAAAGCTCTTGGGCAATTACTACATTCCAAAAATACAGCTATTGCAAACTACAGCTTGGCTCTAAACTGTTTGTCATTAGCTCTAATGGTGTTTGTGTTTGCTTCTTAATTTAACAGCGGATAAGTATAAGGATTCTACCCCCGACGGTGCTAAAAATACTGACAATACAGCAAAAAATGCAGAACCGCTGATTAACTTGGATGGTAAGTGTGCAACAACGTACTGTGTGGATGCATCACATGTGAGTGTGTTCCATGGCCTGTGTGGTGTTCTTCAGGTTTTAAGTTGTTATCACACTGACACAGATAACTTTTTAAAGCCCCATCTAAAGCATTAGGAACGCAGGGTTTATATATTCTTTTACTGCTGGCCCAAACTTCCTCTTTGTGAAAAGTGTTTTGAGAGTTACTTTGAGTCATTTGCACTTGCCTGTATTCCTGCTAAAGCAAGGAGGCACTTCTCCATGTGACTCCCAGGTTATAGAATCCTAGAATGGTTTGGGTTGGAAGGGACCTCAAAGATCATCTAGTTCCAACCCCCCTGCCATGGGCAGGGACACCTTCCACTACACCAGGTTGCCCAAAGCCTCATCCAACCTGGCCTTGAACACTTGCAGGGATGGGGCAGCCACAGCTTCTCTGGGCAACCTGGTCCAGTGCCTCACCACCCTCAGAGTGAAAAATTTCTTCCTTAGATCTATTGGAAATCTGCCCTCTTTCAGTTTAAATCCATTGCCCCTTGTCCTGTCACTACATGCCCTTGCAAAAAGTCCCTCTCCAGCTTTCCTGTAGGCCCCCTTTAGGTACTGGAAGGCTGCAGTGAGATCACCCTGGAGCCTTCTCTTCTCCAGGCTGAACAGCCCCAACTCTTCTCAGCCTATCTCCATAGCAGAGGTGCTCCAGCCCTCGGATCATCTTTGTGGCCTCCTCTGGACCCACTCCAGCAGGTTCCTGGATGTGTGCTGTTGCAGAGTCATTCCTGTTGGGAAAAAGGGGAAGGGCAGAGGGGGGAGAATCTTTACCCAGCAGAAGGAGGTGCACAGAGACTTGATCAGGTGTTAGTAAGTTGGGAGGGCTCTTACAGGCAGTGAGGAAGCAGCTGAGGGGTATTTACCTCAACAGCTTTGCAGAGAGCTCTGTAAAACATGAATCCTACTGTGGCTTAGGGTGAAATAGCAAAATACCTTTTGACTGCAGACTCTAACTTATCTTAAAAAAACCCCAAAGCTAAGGAAACATGATGGCAGATGGTTTACTTCAATACTGTCACATATTACATATTGGCTCGGTCTTCCCCAGCTGTACCTCTCATAATCATTGTAATTTTTTTGACTGCTGGGCACATTCACAATAACTGGGAGTGGTGGAAAACAGCGACTGAAATTAGCCCTAAATACTCCAAGTCTTCTCTCATTGCTCCTTCTACAAAAAGACAGCTAGGAATTGGTCCTGCCCTCACCCAGCAGGCACAGTTCTGCTCTGCAGTGATAGAAATTGTTAGAAAAGAGCATACCTTCATGTAATTGGCTTCGTTTTTCCAGACTTAACCCAGGTTTTTCACGCAGTAGGACACACACAGTGCATTTGGCGTTGAAAACAATGCTGCTTCTGCTTGGATGGTGTTCTGCAACCTGGTTGTGAAGCCTGGCTCACACTTCTGATTGCCTTGTAGCCAGACTAAGTAGTTGCGTGTTGCTGTGTATCCATGGCCTTGCCCATCCTTGAGAGCAGTCCGATACCGTGGAGTCAGGAAGCCAGTTCTGTCTTTTTGGAGCCAGTTGAACTAGCATATATTTTTAACGATGATGATCATTATTTTTACAGTGAATAATCCTGATTTCAAGGCTGGAGTGATGGCTTTAGCTAATCTGCTTCAAATCCAGCGACATGATGATTACTTGGTAATGCTTAAGGTGAGTTTCACAGTTTTCAGACCTCCTTTCTTCCTTTTCCCCAGTGGCTGGTATGTGTGTAGTAGCTTGTGGTGCAGAGTTACTGATAACTATGACTTTATACATGCAAAACAGAAAGTAAAACTCGTCCTGGGTGTGCCTTTTCAAGCAGATGAGAACACAGAACATAAATCATGGCAATTAATGCAGGCATAATTATCTGGGTAAACAGTTCAGCTGTAGCTGAGTTCCTGGAATTCCAACACTGAGGACTGTTCAGAATCTGAAGTGCTCTAGGTTAGCTGAAGTACTGCTTTGTGTTTTTAATGAACCTCAGAAATACTGAGGAACACACCCAAGGAAGAAGATTATATTCCAGTACTAGAAATTAAGAGAAACTTGAAAACATAGAAGCTAAGTGATGCGAAGGATGTTTTAAAACAAACAGCCTGGGAAGGAGCCACAGTTCAAAGCTACTTCCTCCTCCTTTTGCTCCCATGAACTGTTTACTCCTTGTCATTAGTAAAGTCAGTTTAATTTAGCCTTGACAACCAATCATGGCTTTTAAATGCAGTAAATAGGCTAATTAATTTTCTAAAGCATCTTTTTTTATGACTTTGAGAAAATTTGTGACTTAGTGGTGGAACTCTGTAGTGATCTGTAAATTTCAGGTCAAATCTGTACTGTGTTTTTAAAGTGCTATATTTACTGAGACTGTAGCTATCCTGAGTTCCTACCCGATCGTGTCATAATGTGGAAATAAGCTTAGTTTTGTTTGGCACCAAAATAAACTCATTTCACTGAGGGGAAAAAAAAAAAAAAAAAAAAAAAAAAGATGATCCATTCTTTACAGAAGTGGCAATATTTGCTAAATTTATTTTGGAGACACTGAATGCTGTGGGTACTGGAGTTTATGTAGTGTGTGTAAGTGTATGACAGGTGTGTTTAAACAGTGTTATCCTGCTCGTGTGGTTTCTTAAGGAAATGACAGCCTGCAGTTGTCCCATCAACCACTTTCTCATTCTCTGCAGTATGGTGTCCTCCTTTGCCTTACCAAAACAGATTTTGAACTTTTCACTGATCTTTAAAGAGCAGTGCAGATCTTGTATATCACACCCTACAAAAAACCCCACAACCTCAAACTCCAGAAAAAACAGTGAAAAGGGATATTGGGGAGGGAGGGATAGACCCTGTGAATGGCAGTGTTGAGGATCTGCAGCATGAGCTCAGCCCTTATTAGACAGAGTTCCTTCAGATTGTCTTACAGGATTGTCTTGAGGCTAGAAAACTTTATCTGGATTCATCTAATTTGATACTAGCAGCTCAAAAAGAAAGCAGAACGTGTTTTGTGCATAAATGTATTTACGTTTGTCACTGTTTCCGCATTTCTAGTCTCACTTTTTTCAGACTGAAGTGGTTAGACAAAACCACCAGCCCGAATTTTCTTGCTTTGGATTCCACTGAGAACAGATTCCTGCAGGGGCAGTTGGTGCTACGTGAAGACCAGCAATGCTCAGGGTTTCGTGGTGCTGGAACGTGCCAGTGAAACTCTTTCACTCCACACCGCAATAAGCAGGGTTGCAGTGCACTGCAGAGAAGTTACGATCCCTATTCAGGCTTGGACACGCTGGAATGGATGCTTAGGGAAGGCCAAGGGATGCAAGTGTGCCACAGACGTCTGGCCAGACCTTGGTCAGAGAGAGCAGACATATTTGGAGTCCTGTTTTATTAATTTAAATCTGGCAAGTGGATCAGAAAGCATCCGCGTAACACAGTTGGGTGTCCTTTTTCTGATGCAAAAGGCACTCAAAATTCTCTTACACAAGGTCTGGTTTCGTGCTGGAATTTGAAGTCCTCATCAAATCACTTTTGTCTGGGCTGCTCCCTTCAGTCAGAAAGATTTCTAGAAGTATTCAGTGGCAACTTTCTAGTATTGCCTCTCAACTTTCATCATGTCCAAACCCAGGAGAAATCCTAGGGGAGAAACATGAAGCAGTAAGACTGCTTCTGTCGCATTTGGCTACTCGTCAGGGAAAGTCTGAGGAATATGTTTGAAAAACCCAGTTCTTTCTGGTGGAAGCCTGGCTGCGTGATATTCCTTCTGTTATTTTTAGAGGCATTTACAGCTGGAGGTATCAGTAGCTGATAGCTCCGATACGGTTTCATGCTATGTACTGGAGCCAGTAAAAACAGATGAGCAGCAGGATTGTTAAAATCAAGGCTGTTCTTGTTCCTGTCTAAAAATAATAACTTTCTGCTCTCAGTCTTTTAAAAATCTGGTGGGTAGCCTTGCTTCAGGTTTCTCTGCGTGTGGAAGATGGTTCAACACCTACTAAAAGGTGCCGGTAGCAGGATTTCCGTCCTGAAGAAGTTGTATTGCTGCAGCATTACAGGTGTGTGATCTCAGAAAAATAAAAATGCTCCTGCTGCTTTGGGATCGGCTCGTTCTGGAAATGGCAAGCCTTCTCGACTGTTCTTAGCACTTTGCCTAGTGGTGGCTGAAATTAACAGCGTAATGTCCTTGTCCCTTCTGATTAAGCTGCCTTCCCACAGCCCTAGAGATTACACCTGTGTAAGGCAGTACCTGCAAAGAATGCTGCTATTCAAAAAGGTTTAAGGTCTGAAAAAGTTTTCCAAGAAGTCTTGTGGGTTTGAGGTTACGCTGGGTTATAATGCTGGCTCCCTTTCCCGTGGAATTGCCGGGAGACGTGCGGCAATTAATTAATTACTCTCGCCTTTCCATGTTTTTCCCAGGCAATTCGCATTTTGGTTCAGGAGCGCTTGACGCAGGATGCCATAGCGAAGGCCAGTCAGTCCAAGGAGGTTTGTATCTCAGTCTGGTGTTCGTTATTCCGTATGGAGTCAAGAAGGTGGGCGTAAACGTCTGCCATCTCAGTCAAAACCCTGCTGTTCCAATACTTCACTTAGGAGGGGGGTGGAAGCTTGCTTTGTCTTCACCATCCTGATTCTAAAAGACCTGGAGGATTGTGGAGAGTATAAAAAACTCTTTCTATTGAATACAAATATATACCTGTATGATATGTCATGTACATAGGCGTTCTCCTGTCTTTGTGTTTGCTGGAGGGTTCAGTGCAGCAGGCCTGACAGTAAATGAGAAGGAACGTATGACCTGGCTTTTCCTTGGAATCGGCAGCATCAGCTGCATAAACAGGTTGAAACGTTCCTTGTATGGAGTGTTCTGCTTCGGACATACACCTCGTGCACGTTTGAGGGATGGAATGTTGGACATCTTCCCTCTCCCCTTTCCCCAAAAAGAAACGGTGAAGGAAACTTCTGCACTGAAACCTCAGATTTTGCAGAATTCTTTTCTAACCACAAGATGTCTGTAAGATGTTCCAGGGGATGACTGTGGTGTTTCAGATTGTCGTTTCTTAAACATCCCAGTTCTCCAGCTCTTCTCTCCAGCCTTTGGCGCAGCAGCTGCTGGCACTGGGTCTTGGGCACAGCTGGGGAAAGCAGCCTCTCTTGCCTTGCAGGTGTATGTTCAGAAGTGTTATAGAATCATAGAATCACAGAATGGTTTGGGTTGGAAGGGACCTCAAAGATCATCTAGTTCCAACCCCCCTGCTGTGGGCAGGGACACCTTCCACTAGACCAAGTTGCCCAAAGCCTCATCCAACCTGGCCTCGAACACTTCCAGGGATGGGGCATCCACAGCTTCTCTGGGCAACCTGGTCCAGTGCCTCACCACCCTCAGAGTGAAAAATTTCTTCCTTATATCCAATCTAAATCTTCCCTCTTTCAGTGTAAAGTCATTGCCCCTTGTCCTATGGCTACACGCCCTTGCTAGAGAGACTGGATCCAGTCAAAGAGCACAAGTCCCTTCATCTTTTCTGGCAGCTGCTCAGAGCAGTTGATCCTTTATTGCCATAACACTGCTTGTGGTGGTCACTAAGTGGCAGTTGCAGGTGCTCTGAGTTACAGTGCAGTAGTTGCCAGAGGCGCTGGAACAATAAATCAAAGCTTTGGGCTTCTATATCCATAAAACCGTTAAAGAGCAGGAAAATAGGAAAGCAGCTGAGGCTGCTGTAGTCATTTTAGGTTCTATAACTAATATTAATAAAAAGCTGCTTTTAATTGTCGTTTGCATAGCTGCACAGCTGCCACGCAGGGGTCCAGATAGGATTTGCTGTGAGTTTGGCAGAGCTAGCCTCTTTGAAGAATGGTGAATTTTTTTTTTCATGAGAAAGAATTGTTCAGGTTTGCTAGGTCCTCAAAGCATCGTCAGGTCTTAGGTTGAGATGTCACTGTGTCACTGAATGTGATGTCTGTCATTAGGAATGCTGAATTTCAAGTGAGGTGGAGAAAAGGCAGAGGTTTGGAGGCAGGAAAACAGCTTTATTTGTGCCAGCAGCAATCACCAACATCATAATATACCAGATGAATGAAGAAAATATCTTAAAAGCAGAGGGGATAGCTGGGCAGCTTTCGAGGTAGAACATGACACTTTAGTACTATTATCATTATTATTATTATTACATTTTGAATGACTGGCAATTCAGTGTACTCAGTGTCTAGATGAAATTCAGATTTATACCAACAAACCCGTAGGCTGTCCTGGGCTTTCCTTGCCTGATGGGTATCCTAGGTAGGATCAGTCATCCTTTTACGGATGCTTCCAATGGCTGTACATGGGGCATGTTAAAAAGTGCAACGAAGTATGTTTTCCCCCTACTCTGAAATCTGGAAACGTTTTTTCTTCCCACTCCCAGGTAATCCAGTTTTACTTCCAGTTACAGGGGAGATGGCTGCTGTGGTCAGACCTGTTGCAGGCGTTTTGTGCAGCGGTTTTAAATGGAATTTTTAGAGAATGAGGCTGAGAAATGAAGTAACGGTAACAGATTTAAAGGTGCTCATCACTTCTCTCCCTGTTTGATGCTGCTGTGCAAATAAATGAGTGTGTGCCTGTTGTGCAGCCACCCACTGCTGCTACAACTACAAGGCAGAGCCTGCCATGAGACCGCTGCTGCGGGCTCTGGCGCTTGGGAAAGGCCTGTCAAAGGCAGCTTCCACCAGCCAGAAGGCAGCTCACGTACGGAGTGGTGGGAGGAAGGCAGGGGAAGTAATGCTTTGCTGCCAGGGTGTCTCAAAAGACCCTCTGAAGGTGCCTGCAGTGGCCCTGGGGAATCATCTGCAAAGAACCAGCTGAATCAGTGGTTTGCTGCTTGTGTAGCTCTGAAAACACACAAGGGTGACAGTGAGGTCTTTGTAGCCGTAAGTATAAACCTGATTGCTTAAAAAGGGTGTATATGAAGTCTGGTATTGCTAGAATCTGTTCAAAGTGGCGTCCTTAACAAGAAGCTGTTTAAATTTTAACAATGCTGATGCATTTTTAAGATGGCCGTTGAACATCTGTTTTACTGTAAAGTCTGTGGAAAAGAACCACTTCTTGAAAACGGGTTATTAGAGTTAGTTTCAGTCAGCATTTTGTATTTATTTTGTGTTGTTTTGATAAACTCAGAGTCTTTTTGCATGTGTATAAAAGCCTTTAGAAGAAATCCTCACTGGAAGTTTTATAACTTCATTGTAGAAACTAATGGTATTGGACTCGAGTGCTTTTGTCATGCAAGGCAAATGTTGAAAAAAGTTGCAGAGATAGTAAAAGCAAATTCAAGATTTGCATCGTTTAAATCTGTTTTATGAGTATGTGGAAACATGGCAAATGACTGTTTAGCACGCCTCTCCTGCAGCTGGAGAGGGTAAAGGGAAGAGAGCAAAGCTTATAAATGACTGTTAATAATTCCTTGCACTGTTTTAGTAGAGCGAGTGTTTAGAAAACCGAACGTTTCACTTTATTCCTAAGCTTAACACTTGAGAAAACGCTTCTGGGGGCGTCGATGGAGGCTGCAAGTTCAGTGCTTGAGAAACTGCCTTGTTTGCAGAGAATTTGTGCAGCTCTTCCTTCCCATCAGCCAGGACTTTGAGAACTGGCAGCTGTTTAAAGGCAGTGGTTTCTGAGACAGCCTGGTTTGTGCACGCTTTTTGCTCGCCTGGGTGGCGATGCTGCTGGCTGGGGTGTTCTCTTGCAGGACTGTTGTAGCCTTTTAAGGCTCGGACGTGAGCGGTGTGTATCCAATGGGGTTCGCTTGACAAGCAGGGACATTATTAAGCACAAAGATTTTTCTTTATTAATACTCTGGCTTTGACGTTTCGGGACACACAGACACTTGTGTGTAGTCAAGCGTGATGACTTTTCAAAGTTGTCACACATCTTATATGAGCAAAACTCTGTCGTGTCCTCTCCTCCAGAGTTACCTGCTGTAGTACTCGATTTTATTTTCCAAACATGCAAAATGACATTTCTAATTCTATCTGAACAAGCTTTTTCTTTTTTTTTTCCTCCCAAAGGGTTTGCCTGTTGCTTTAGAAAAGCACATTCTTGGTTTTGACACAGGAGGTAAGCAGTTCTTTTGTCATTTTAAAAATGTTACTTTTAAACAGTGATGTTTGCCTTTGACAAGGCGTGTTACTGTCAAACACGTAGCTAATGCGTACAGTAACAAAGCCTCTAGTGGAAAGAATTGCTCCCTCCCAGCTCGTTATTTACGAGCACTCCTGAGCGTTTTGTTTTGGAACAGAACAGCATTAATCTTAGCTGTGGAAGATGTTGTTTCGGAGTCATGTTTAAATAAGTTTTTAATGGCAGCCACGTTTGCAGGCGGCAGGAACTGTCCTGTAAACCTGCCTTCCACCAGCAGAGGACAGCTGTGCTTCTTCCACGTGTTTTAGCTGCATGATTTACCTCAAATCTCATCGGAGGCAGCACGAGTTGGCGTGACCCGATAGATTATTTTGTCAGGAATAGCCAGGTGACCTGGGACACCACTAGTCTGGCTTCGCTTTTGCCCCGTGTGCACCTAAATTACTACTCGGAGTGCTCCGTGCTGACCCGCCCTGGCTGCGGATTACAGAATCACAGAATGTCAGGGATTGGAAGGGACCTCAAAGGATCATCTAGTCCAATCCCCCTGCCAGAGCAGGACCACCTAGATCACATCACACAAGAATGTGTCCAGGCGGGTTTGGAACATCTCCAGAGAAGGAGACTCCACAACCTCTCTGAGCAGCCTGTTCCAGTGTTCTGTTACCCTTAACTGGGAAGAAGTTCTTCCTCATGTTTAAGCAGAACCTCCTATGTTCCAGCTTATCTCCATTTCCCCTTGTCCTATCATTGGATGCCAGTGAGAAGAGCCTGGCTCCATCCTCATGACAGTCACCCTTTCCATATTTATGAACATTAATGAGGTCCCCTCTCAGCCTCCTCTCCAAGCTAAAGAGACCCAGCTCCCTCAGCCTTTCCTCATAAGGGAGACGCTCCACTCCCTTCATCATCTTTGTGGCCCTGCGCTGGACTCTCTCAAGTAGTTCCCTGTCCCTCTTGAACTGAGGGGCCCAGAACTGGACACAATATTCCAGATGCGGCCTCACCAGGGCAGAGTAGAGGGGGAGGAGAACCTTTCTCGACCTACTCACCACACCCCTTCTAATACACCCCAGGATGCCATTGGCCGCCTTGGCCACAAGGGCACATTGCTGGCTCATGGTCATCCTGCTGTCCACCAGGACCTCCAGGTCCCTTTCCCCTGTGCTGCTCCCCAACAGTTCAGTCCCCAGCTCGTACTGGTACACGGGGTTGTTCTTACCCAGGTGCAAGACTCTACACTTGCCCTTGTTGTATTTCATTAAACTTCTCCCCACCCAACTGTCCAGCCTGCCCAGGTCTCTGAATGGCAGCACAGCCTCCAGGTGTGTCAGCCACTCCTCCCAGTTTAGTGTCATCAATAACTTTTTAAAAAATGATTTACTGGGAGGAGGGCTGCAGGAAGCCAAGTGAGGTGTTTTGCAGAGCACCCTGTCCCTCTCGAGCAGCGGGGGAAGTAGTTTCCTATTTTGAGTGTGCAAACCACGAGCAGGAACGAGGAGCATTAACTTGGCTTAAGCCTTTCAGAAGACCTTTGTGTCGCTTGAAAACGTTCCGTGTGACCTCTCTTTCTGCAACTCTCCCAGATGCTGTTCTCAACGAAGCTGCCCAGATTCTCCGACTGCTGCATATAGAGGAGCTCAGAGAGCTGCAAACGAAAATCAACGAAGCGATTGTAGCAGTTCAGGCGATTATTGCTGATCCCAAGACGGACCACAGACTGGGGAAAGTCGGGAGATGAACGGATAAAAGCTTTTAGTCTCTTGTGCACTTAGTACACTTAGGAGCAACGTACAGCTCTGCACAACTCCGGCATGTGGTTTGAAAGGGTATTATTTTACTGTTTTGAAAGAAAACAGGAAATTGAATTCTGACTTCTAATGGATTATCATTTTTCTTTAAATAAATGAAGTCGGAGAAAACAGACAAGTTGTTCCGATTAGCTCCGAGTTGACAAATACGACTCTTTCTTTTTCATTGTGTTTGGCTTTGTGTTGAGAGATTCCTCTTTTGCTGACGTCCTGCCATGTGAACACTGAAATATTTAAATACTAAATCCAGATGGAAACTTAAAACAACCATTTTATTCAATTATTGAAGTAACCTAGAAAAAGTGAAGCGGTACAACATAAATGGTATTTCTGAACATGTGTGGGTCTACACGGGGGTAGGTCTATGAAGGCACTTAGAAGAACTGACAAGCATGAACGGGTCACTCCTAGCATATTCTTCTAATATAAATACTAAAAGACATGCATCGAAGCAGTGGTGAAAATAGGGAATTGTCTTCTGGAAAAACTTCCCTGCCTTTGCCGTATCGCGTAACTGTTCTGCACACTGTTGGAGCACGCACAGTCTCTGCCTTCAGAGCTGTGGATTACTTAAACCCAGCAAGATACTGCATCCAAAGCTCCCCATAGACACTTTTTTTTTTTGATAAAAGGACCTGTTGGTCAGATTGTCGAAACTATTAAAAATTAATCCATTCTTCTTCCAATAAAATAAAACATTTTAATAAGAAAGCTACACTTTAAATTTGCTTGCATAAGCAAGAGTTAAGAGTAACGGCCTAAGATTCACAGGACCATTCTTTTTTTTGTAATATATCAATGTTTTTTCACTTTTTTTAAAAAAAATACAGTAGTAAAGACTTGAGGTATAACTTCAAAAAATACTTGCTAATCTTTTGCAGGGAAGTAGGTCACTGTTGGCTTTGGTTAAGGGGTTTCCCCTGTAGTTGTGTGCAGTGACAGTTTTCTGGGTCTGAAGTTCTTCTGGGTGCAAAGAGAGTTGTTTCTCGAAATAGCAGTTACTATTTCCTCGCTGCAGAAAGAAGGGAGTCTCCTGAGTGTGACAAGCACACGGCAGCCATCAGACAATCAGGAGGGGGTAGACATTTTGGGGTTTACCTCCAGGGCAGTAGGGATAAACTGCAGTTATTCCATAGAGATGTGATCGCTGCTCTGGAAGATACTCATCGGTAAAGGAGCCGGTTTCTTTATTGATGGCTATCACACCGTCCCTGGTGATAAAAGGGAGAGAAGTGCTTTACTCAGCTACGAAACTCGTTTTGCACCCCCAACTACACGTATTTAAGAGAGACAGCTAAAAAGTTTAGGCTGAACACCTGCAGAACAAGTGGAAAGAAACCTGCCCGGTACAGTGCACGTCCAGCTCAGTCAGTGCCTTTCTTTCTGGTGATGCAGAGCCACAGAGACAGCCTTCCAAGGAGAGATTGTCTCCCGGAGAGTCTCCTCCAAGGGTGGCAAGAGCTTAAGTGTTTGTTGTACTCTGCTAAGATTCGATGGAAGTTCTGAGAGCTTCCAGCTGGAGTGGGAAGAGAGGCGAGTCCCCGATGCTGAGGGCCTGGGGTGGTGGGGGAGAGGGAACGACCGAGGACAGAATCTTTCCCTTGATTTACTCCAGATTCAGAAACTTGTGCCAAGTTTTATTTAAAAAAACCCCAAAATTTCTATGTATCTATCTATTTCTCTCCCTCCCAGGAAGCTGGGGCTGTGTCTAAACAACTGTGCACTGAGATTTACAAGCGGGTGTTGCTGAACGTGGCACTGTGGGAGACCTAAGAGAGCGCTCCGGTGCGGTGCCAGCGCTCCGGTGAGATGCCAGGCTGGGGACAGCATTTGGTTTTCCCCCTTTGGCTCCAAGCTGCTCCTCAGGACGACTCCCTCCAGCAGTGAGCAGCGGAGTCAAAGGCTCTGCTCTTTCCTTACCGCCGCCAGTCGGTGTGGTAGAAGTGGTTGGCGTAACTAACGACGCTGAAGGGGTAGTTGAGGTTGTTCTGTATGACGCGCCGGCCCGTGCCGTCGGGCAACGTGCACTCCAGGTGCTTCGTTCCTGTTTAAACACAAGCCAGTCAGCAAGCTGCAAAAATAACCTCACCAAACGTGGCCTTTTTGCCAATTTTTGAAGCAGCTGTAGAAGCGGCTTGTGCTGTGAGTCCCCCAGCACACCACGTCCTTGGGGGCAGGACAGCGGAAGGGGCAGAGAGGATGGGATGTAGATGGATATAGCTGGTTTTCCCCTCATCTTGGCATCTGCTCTGTCCTTGGTGAACTCACCTGCGTCTGCCCAACAGAGCAGCTTGGAGAAGGGGTCAAACGTCAGGCCGTTGGGCAAGCCGATGTCCGTGTTCACCAGGACCCTCCTGTTGGCTCCGTTGACGGTGGAAGTTTCGATTTTCGGCGCTTCGCGGTTCCAGTCCGTCCAGTAAAGGTTGCTTGGGAAACAATTATGATACAATGAGCAAACGGGACACACAGCAGTGAGGAGTGGCGGGAGATTATTGGCTTTCTCTTCACTACTGGCTCTTGTCAGGAGAGAGGCCTGGTTTCCTTCTCAAGGGTGCCTGAAATAAATCTTCATTTGATTTGAAAAAAATCTCTAAAAGAAACCGGGAATGATGTCAAACATGTTTACGACCCAAACTGCAGCTCCTAGACGAGGGCGAGTCTTAGGAGTAGCACATTTTGTATCACAACAGCACCCCGGAGGCACAGCGAGTGTTTTCCACCGCCAGGCGTGTTTCAAAGCTTTTAAAAATAACGCACATCCCGACACTGAAACCGCAGGTTTAGCCAAATCCTGAATTATTAAATAAAAGAGGCGGTGGAGAACAGAGCCAATCCCTCCTACGGCATGTGCGACGTAGGAGAGCTGCTCCCAGGGTCAGGATGGTGCCCTGGCACCACCACCTGTGCCCAACTCACACAGCCCTGCGTGCAAATCCCTCCGGGAACGCGGCTGCTCACCCTCGGACGGGGTCCACCGCGATGGCGCGGGGGTTGACGAGCTCCGTGTTGCCCCCCTGCCGCTCGGAGCCGTCCAGCCGGGCTCGCTCGATCTTATCCAGGCCACTGTCGGTCCAGAACATGGCTCTGCGCAGGTGGTCCACCGCCAGCCCCTCGGGGCTGATGAGCCCTGCCAGAGGGACAGATGTGCTCAGCAGCTGGGGACATGCTGCTCCAGGACCCCGGTGCCTCGACCCAAAGCCCAGGGATGCGAGGGCGGATGGAGGACCCCAAAGCAGGACAGCCCTGGGCATGGAGTGGCGTGGACCCGCTGATGTGGCTTTGGGCAGATGTCACTGGTGGTGGGAATGCACCTGAGTTGATGACGGTCTCTGGCTCAGCGCCTGCCTCCAGACTTGCCCGGCTTATGGTCCGGCCAGCCACATCGGTCCAATAGATTGTCTTCTCCCGGCAGTCGTAGTCGATCCCCACCACGATGGAGCCCTGCCAGGGTTGGAGAGGGACACGGGGTGAAATCCTGCCCACGGCCAGGAGGCTCACTGAGCATCCTGATCCCACCAGCCGGCACTGGGAGCTGCCTGGGGCACTCCGCAAGATGCAGCAATGGAGAATGACGCTCAAATCCCTTTTCCCTGGCAAAACCCAACACCAACGGGCTCCTACTGCACAACCCCAGCTGAATCCTGCAGCACAGGCTTTTCAGGCCAGCTGTCACCGGCACACACCCACGTCCAGATGGGTTTGAAACCCTTCGGCTCAAGGAGAGACTTCTCCAGCAGTGAAGCCAGCCCGAGGAATGACCTTCAGGATGGAGAAAGGGAATACTTGGCATGGTGTTTGAGTTCCCCGGGGTGCAGGCAGGGTCGTGGCCCAGCTTTTGGCGTTCCTCTCCCTCGGTCTGGCCTGGCTGGAGATGCACATGGCCATGCTCCAAGAGGAGTCCGAGGAAGGCAAAAAGCAAGTCTGCACAAGCCAACATCAACTTTCAAGAGATGCCCCCCCCCTCAAACCATCCTAGCTCAGACAAAGAGTGGACCAGGGAGCATCGACCTGTCCCTAATTCCTGCACCCCGAGCCCGGCGCTGGCGATACCGTACATGCAGGGAGAGCAGGGTTTTCGCCGCCTCCTTCTGCAGCCGCGTGCCGTTGAGCGGGAGGTAACCGATCTGCTGTCCCTGAGCGTAGAGCAGGAAGGTCCCCGTGGCCGGCGGGGACACGTCGGGCCGGGGCGAGGGCCGGACGCTGGGCGGTGCGACGCTGGGGAGACCTGGCACATAAACGGGGTGGGGGACAGGGAGAGAGGTGGCTCGGGGAGCATCGGCACCTCGGCTCCGCACCCGAGCGGGATGCAGCACCAGGCACCCGTGCTGTGCTAGGTGATGGGGGGGTCACGCTTGGGGTGCTGAGCTCTTACACGGCGGGGTGGTGCCAGGCTCCGAGCGCGTGCCCTGGATCTCCCTGC